GACATTAACCCTGACAAATCGGACAATGAGGGAAATACTCCCTCTCTTGGGCTGCAATGAAAGGACACGAGTCTGTGGTTAAGCAACTATTGGACCGGAAAGACATTAACCCCGATACCATAGACAAGAAGGGCAGGCCACTATTCTCCTGGGCTGCAATTAAAGGGCGCCAGTCCGTAGTTAAGCAACTTTAGGGCCGGAAAGACATCAATCCCAACAAACCAGACAATCAGGGCAGAACTCCCAACTCCTAGGTTGAAAATAACGGGCATGAGTCAGTGGTGAAGCAGCTTCCGGACCGGGGAGACGTCAACTTGGGCAAGCCAGATAATGAGGGACCTACACCTGTCTCTCAGACTGCCATAGAGGACACGAGCCAAGGATTAAGCAAGCTTTAGATCCGAAAGACGGCGGTCCTAACATGCCCGAGCACGAGGGCCGTAACCCCTCTCGGGAGCCCCATCTACAGGGCGCGGGTTAGTACTCGCCATTCGGACCGGTAAGACGCCAACCACAACAGACCAGGCGGTAAGGGCAGGACACCCCTTTCAATGCTTTCATGGACTGCGCTTAAAAGGGGCGCTTCAGCGGCTATGGGGGTTCCGGGCCAGGAAAGTGCCACCCCCGGCATAACAGACTTCCACAACGGGGCTCCACTCTCGTGGACTGCCCAGAAGGTACGCGAATTGTGAAGCTACCATTCGGGCGGCAGGACGCCAACTGACAAACTAGACAGAAATTAATGCATACCACTCTCTAACGCATCTCAGCGGACATTTCAGTGAAGGAGTGGCGAATCTGCTGCATCCCTGGAAACCCTGAACCCTAGTCTGGTTCGTAGTTTTGAAAAGTCACCAGTTTCATCACGCTCCCTACGTCTTTGTCCCCGATTATCCACTGCTCCTTTATTGTGCCTCTAGCCATACCTTATCCTCTAGCTCTCACTCCCCTCCCCGCCTCTCCCCCTAACGTCCAGAGCCTGCGATATGGCCTCACCGCACCCTCTTTTCCTACATACTCTTCCCTTTTCTCCTGGGTTAATTCACACCCCCGAGGGTCCTGCAATCGTGGCATTTGCTGTGCCTTGGGATCCTTCCGAATATCTGGCGATGCGATTGAGTGAAGATTTTCGAGTTTCTCTTCTCAGTGTTTGGGGTGTGGGGATTGGCGGTCATCTTCCCTCTTATTTCTCCACTTACAACTTTCATTACGCTTGGTTAATTTCCGCCTAACATATATTTCACCTTATAAATCCCCCCCCCATGTATCGTGCCCTCTTTCCGTTTTTCCACTTGTTTTAGATCATCTCTTTCTCCGTTTCCTCCCGTTAACGATCGGAGAATATCCTCCTTTGAGCAAGGTGTTCATCTAGACTAGTATTCCTCATGAGCCGGCTCGACAGCAAATGTGCTCGAGCCCGAGTTTGTCTGTAGTCACTCAGTATCACTCGCTGAACTAGTGATATGGGTATCTGTATTGAAAAACCTGGGTAGAGGATATATTTCAAATGTTAAATATATAGAAGCAGATCCCTAAATTCTGCTACCAACACACAAACCCTCCACCTAGTGTCCTTAGATTATGGCAATCAATGGAGGGCTAAATTTCTATAAAATATGTAATTTGACTCCCCCCACTTGAAATTCCCCACCAGTACCTAGCCTAACTCCTGATCCCCAACCCCCCGGGTCGTTCCTTTCCACATCCCAGCACCCCCGCTAGGAAGATCTCTGGAGTGCACGTTCACTTCTTGTATGTGATTGAAAACGGGGTTTGGACTGCCCATGCCGGGATACGAATGGTGGCAGCCGGAGTTACTGTAATGTATAATATTAAAGTGAGGAGGACAACGGGAACCAATATACGAGTGAGATTTGATGATTACATAGAGTCGCGACAAACTAAATTTAGAAACCAATAACAAATAACGAGGGGGGAAACGCTACACTAACGACAGGGTGGTAGAGCCAATATAAAATATATATACAAGAATATAAGAAAAAAGACGGCAGCGCTCGCACACTTCCAACTGTAGCGGTTGTACTAGTACAGTAACGCACCACCAATAATGGGGGGTTCATACACCGCAAAAAAAACCCCCAACTCAGCCCGGATATCCGTGCAGCTCCAATAGGCGTATGATAGCAGACAATTTTTTTGTTAACCCTCTCTTGGCGGAAAAATGGATACCGCACTCCCCCTCGCCCTGAATCCGAGAATGCTAAAAGACAAAGGTTAAACATATTGCGGTATGTAGGCTTTTTACACCACATGAGTCTCGAGAGAGGGAGCTCTATTTGATGCGCCGGTTTAAAATTGTTTTTCCACTCTGCACATAGTTGTCTTTTTTCGGTTGGAGCTGTTGGTCGATTTCTTTATCCTATCTGTTTCATTTGCAGGATATGTAATTATAGAACTAGGGTTTCTAGGAGTAGGCTACTCCCTACAAAAACAAATGTTTCCTGCAGATTATTTTATGCCGAGTGAGAACACATGAGATGCTGAGGGGGAGTGAAAGGGTCACGGATTATGATCAGTCCCGGATATCTGGTGTCATTGTGGGGCCATTGGATTGCCTGGCTTGCTGAGCCGGCTGGCCATGCAGACCTGGAAGGAGTTTTAGAATTCTACGTGGGAATTTCATGACCACTGTGAGGGTACTTGAATACCAGGGCAGAGTTCTGGTAGCCAAGGGGGTTCATCCATTTTCAGATGGATTTCAAGTTCTGGCCTTAATCACCTCATCTAGCATCTTCTCTCGATGGATTAGGAAAATCCGAGAACCTCCGGGTGCCATTTCATCTTTTTAAAAGAGTTCCTTCCTTTCTCCCATCATTTTCCCGAGGGGGTTTTTTTTGGACTTCTTTTTCACAAGATCGATGTGGGTAATTTCCCATAATTGCCATACCACTGGAGGAAACCCAAGGTGGCAGCAAAAGTAACAACATTCAACCATGGTTCTTCCTTGGAAGCCAACCTTTGACTAGGGTGACTTTCTCCTCAGCGTTTCTTCCCTTTTGGCAGTGTATGAACACTGTGTGCTAGGCGCAGCCCCTGCCATCACTGGGGTAGCAGTAGGACTTGGAGCTGTCCCAATATCTGCCACCTCAACGGCCATTTGATCTTGCACATGGGAGGGAATATCACTGTCCTTTTGAAGTAATTCCAATCAATAAACGAAACAGCATGTTCATATCATACTTTTCTTCAGATTCAACGATGAGAATCACTTTACTAAGTATTACGAAAGTCAAGAAGGCCAAGCTTCGTCAGTCCTCGCAGACCCCCGCACACACACAGGGTCTACTCGTGCGGCGAGTTACATCAGTTCCAGCTCAGCGTACGCTAGGACATAGTAAAGTTCATACTATAACCGCCTAAGGTACTCTACTACGCTCCACTCATCAACGAGTGCAGTACACAAGCCTTCCCCTCGTATAGTACGACCGGTCTAGCTAGTTATACGTACAGTACAGCACAGTATGTCATAACGCAGGGCGTCAACTTGGCGATACCGTACCGGTACAGTATCATACCAAGACCTCTTGTTGAAGAATCCCTGCAGGACCGACTCGCTAACATTGAAGGGACATCGGTACTGCACTGTACTGCACCCACTCGAAAAGTTTTTTAGGCGATACTTGTACTATCCGGTGCAGTAGAATTCGCAGAAATATGTATCGTATTGTGTGGTGCATACCGTACGGTACTGTACTGTACTGTGCACAGCCTTAAATTATACAGGTAGTCGATACTAGCACCACACCGTATCGTGATTTGCGCACTCTACAATTCATTATGTACTGTAACCCACATTATGTACTGTAGCCCAGAGGTACTCGAGTACCCCACTGCCCCACCTCCTGCCTCCGAGGCCAACCAAGACATGAAGAAATCCCCCACGCCAATAATCGTCTGTTCCACGAAATGGCGCAGAGCGGTACCTGTACCGCACGAGCACAACGCCACCCGCCACCGGGGTACACCAGCATCGCGACCCGTGGTATACTAAAGTAAGGCTTAACTACAGTGTCGTATTCCTTCATCGTGAGCGATAATCGAGCTTGTACTAGTACAGTATTCCGGGCATTAACTTTACCCCTGCTTGTCTGGGCATTGACAGAGGTCGGAAGTAGAAGGGATGATAATAAAAAATGTAGCGAATTCTTTGTGCAATATACAGTGAATTATCATCATGGTGCTATTGTGGGCTTGGACGGCTCTAACTCTACAGCTTAAAACAGAGCACAGGCGTGTAGGAGTGATAGTGCCAACACCCCCCATACAGCCTCAGCATTGCAAAAACCCATTGAAAAAGCCTACGGCGGTCCAGCCTGGCTAGTTTATCTGTGAAGCTTGTTGGTTCGTTCATTCCTCCACCGTGGTGGCCACCAGCCCTCAACACCCTGCCGGGCTGGGAAGGAAAGAAGCGCGGACGAGAGGAGAAGGGATGAAATAAAGCGCTCGTCAAAGTCCCACCGTTTGATGCCGCTTTGTAACTAGCCTGCGCGATGCCGTTCTATGCTTCCATCACCACCAGCTGAATACCCAGTGAACGAACTGCGGAAAGTGAGGGAGGGCGCTCCCAACTCATGCGTGCCTCGTGGCACATCAGGAATAGGACACATAACGCAGCATATCCCGTCTCTTGTAGCTCAAGCACTCGACCATGTTACGGCACGGAGTCCTCGTGCCATCCATCGCACATTCACTTTCCACACCCTTCGATCATATAGGTGTGTAGCACCCTCTGATACGATACGACAGACTCTAGTCCGGTCCAGTTCCAGCACAGTCCAGCATCCAAGTGTACAGGTACCGGAACGCCGGCACTGCATCTCCACAAACAGCGGATACCCGCATAAAACACATTTCTCCCTTTCCCCCCTCTCCCGCCTTCCCCCCCCCCCCTCAACCATCCAACCCTCGGGGGTGCGTCCAAAACCAGCCAAACAATCCCCAGATTTGACAACCCAACAACGCGCCCACCCGACCGACCAATGCTCGCAACGGTCGACTGCTACACATGCCGTCGTCGGCGCGTCCGCTGCGACCGTGCATTGCCGCACTGCGCAAAGTGCGTTGATAGACCCGGGATCGACTGTTTGTGATATAAGAAACCACTGGTGTGGAATAAGGACGTTGCCTCACGCGGGAAGATGATGGGGAAGACCTTTCCCTTGTCGAAGCCTTCAAGGCAAGGGGGCTCTGAGTGCGAGGTGGTGGTGGTGAGGGTGAAGAAGGAGGAGGATTCTAGCTGGAGAAGCAATAGTCCAGAAAGCGAGATGTGTGGTGATGGGTTGGGGGGTAATAAAGCAGCAGGAATGGTTGTTGGTGTTGAGGATGGAATTAGTGGTGGTGGTGGTGGCCTTGGGGGTGGGAGGGATGGTGAGGACCCGGGTAGGGCGGCAGTGGTCGAGTGTGACAGAAGTGCTGGAAAGGATTGGCTGAGGTCCTTCAATCCCGAGTTTTTCGGAGCTCTTGATAGCATGAGCAAATACTATCTAAATTACTGTACTGTACGTCACCTGCCCTCCCGTCATGCCTCCACTCCCCTTATGGTATATCTAACTAACACGATATCCGCATCTAGTCGACAAGCGAGTCTGCAGAGACTTCATCCTTTTCGAACGTCATGGAGACAACCCCTACCGCAACCTCCTCTCCCTCGCAGCTGAGCACCCCTCCTTCCTGCACGCAGCCCTGGCCGTCTCCGCAAGGCACTACTCCAACAATACCGGTTTCCAGGAAACTCACTCGTTGGTGTACAAAGGCCACGCGATAAACTCGCTCCTGCAGGACCTACAGAGGACAATCCACGATGGCACGACCGTCGTTCGAGAGCCGGTGCTGCTGTTCCTATTCTTTGAAGCGCTCGAGAGCGGGAAGGACACGTGGAAGATACACCTCTAGGGCGCCAGGCGATTGATCCAGATGGGCGGGGGCATGGGCGGGCAGAGGAGTAATCTCTCGTCGTCTTTGGGGGTGTTGATCACTCATGTTGCCGCGTATATGCCCCTCTCCCCTCCCCTTCCTCAATACTATCATTGCTAATGACGCATAAAGCATAGACATCATCAGAAAATCCCTCGCCTTCTCCGGAGGTGCCGACACAGACACCCTCTCATGGGGCAGCGCTAGCAGCAACCCAGAGGAAATCTTCAGATTCCTCGAACAGGCAGAACACTACTCCTTCCTCGGCTGCCCAGCAGAACTCTTGCAAGTAATATCCCTCGTCTCGCAACACAAAAACAAAACCCCCACCACCACCACCACCCCCACGACGCAAACCCTCTTGTCAAGGATAGAAAATTTCAACCCCCAAGCTTGGGCAAGCAAACCCCCCCCTCCCTCAGCCAAACGTCGCTGGAATATTCATCCCCCGTCTCGACGCGGGCGAAGTCTACCACCACGTCTGCGCCTACAAATGTGCCGTGCAGATATTAGCCCTACAAGTGCTTACGCCCTCATCGCCGTCGGTGGTGCGCAAGACGGACGAGCTCGTCGACGAGATCATCGCCCACATTGCTAGCTTCGGGCCCGGGTCCGTCTTCTTCAAGGACGTTGTCTAGCCCATATTCTTAGCCGGAGCGGTGTCAACGAGAGAGTACCAGAGAAGTTTTGTTAGGGTGACCCTGAGGAATATATGGGGGTTGTTACCACAATTCGATATTAAGAGCGCGGGGGTGCTGCTGGAAGCCATGTGGAGGGATGAGGAGGGGGATTGGAAGGAGAGACCTGCGAGGACTGGGAGTGATTATTTGTTTATTTGAAAAGAGGCGGGTATGCTATTTTTACTGTGTATCTTCAACTGGGTGGCCATGTCATTTCCACATATTACCGCCGGTTTGCGCCCCGGGGCTCAGATTTTGGTCTTTATTTCATTCTGGCATCAATAGTGTAGGGTCGGAAAGGAGAAGGGAAGGAAAGAGAAGGCTATATTGGTTACAATCTTCCCGGGATGGAAGAATGCGCCGTATTCTTATGTACTCCTCTTCGAGTGAGTCCTCATGCTTCAGCGCGTGTCTCCTCAGTTATGGGACACCGCCGAGAAACACCCTTCCGGAGGAGGCCGCTTCATGTAGCCACTTCTACAGTAATAGCGCGGTCGGCACACGGACGTTGAACCACTCCGCACACCCAAACATACCAATCAGTGCGGGGGGGAAATCAAGTTCCCCTCCTCCCGTGATCCGGTCATCTCACTGCCAAGGCCCGGAAAACGAGGATCCCCGGCCCGGGGGATGTCCAGATACCTCTGACGCCCGCAGACCCTCGAGTGAAATACCGGTATTATACAGTACCGTACCGGCGAAGCCTGCGATAGTACCGTACTTGTGCAGAAAAGTCGGAAAAGAGGGGTCGTAAAAACACGGAAACCCCATCGGCCGGAGTCACGAAGCGCTCAAATCAGAACTCCAGGATTCTCGTGTCTTGTGGTCCGATCCTTTTTTTTTACCCGGATATCCTTTCTCCTAGGTTACAAGTAGAGTACTATACGAGTACTCGAGCACACGTAAATTAGCTCCAAGAGGAGCGGGCACTATTTACCACCTACTTACTGTTCTCACTATACTCCAGCATACCGTAAGCACAAGTACGGTACTAAAGTACCCTCACGAGGTACCGCTACAGGCACCAGAACACTCGAAGTAAGTAAGAAGAGCTGCTGTACCGTACAAAATTTTGATCCCTCGCGTTTTTTAAGTGCTGGTACTCGAGTATTGGTACTTCTTCAGACGCACCGGTGCTGTGCTAGTACGAGTACGAGTACGAGTGTTCAGCGTCCGGTAAATGAACCATGCGATCCTGGAGTTCTAATTGGAGTGTTTATTTGACGTCTCGAATCAATCGATTTCCCTGTTTTCTATTCTGGATTATTCCCCTGTTATCCGATCCCTCCTGCTCGTACCGTACCGGTACGGTGCTCAGAGGTGGAAGTAAAAATCGAGTACTGTACGGTGCCGCAAGGAAGTTGGTCCTGTCACCGCAGCTAACTTACTCGTAAAGTCCCAGTTGGCCGGAATTGAAAGTAGAGGTCGGCAAGTTAGTATCGATAAGTACTGTACCTAGACTTGGATTCGGTAGGTGTAATATAGGACTAAAATTATTATTATTATTATTATTTTTCCCTTGCTTCCTATATCTGAATTTGTAAAGGTAGGTCGAGTGTATATGGAGGGAAAGACAGGCACTTTTGCGGAGGTAATTGAACTATTAGGTTTCCATAATGATGCTGATGCAACTTGCTCCTTGAGTTTAATGTCTTTGACTCCCCTACCTGTTCCAATATGTCATCTACTTGCACAAGATTCCTGAGGTCCCTTGTTATCATCCCTGCTCTGCTCGATTTTTACTTCCATCTCCAAGTACCATACAGTAGTGGCACTCGCGTCCAACGTGAGGACACGGTGCAAGTACCGGTGTCCAAAACACAGGGATCGAAAATCTGCCCCCAGCGTTCGGGTCCGTTACGATAGATGCCTGTGCGGTAATAATCCAAGAATTGATCCCTACGAGTAGGACACCTTCTGGAAGATATCCTGTGCTTTGATTTCGCTGTCTTGTGCTATTCAGGGTATTATACCGGACAAGGAAAACGTCTTCAAGTTCGATCCCAAGATACGGTACTTGGAGGTCAAAAAACTAAACCCCTTTTGTTGCATGTGACTCATGTTATACGCTTTTCTCTCCCACATTCGGCGATCTGCATTCTTTATTTGGTAATAGTTTGCACGCTTAGGGCTGTGAAATTCGAGAAGGAGGCTTGGGAGCTAGCTACAGGGACGGGCCGCAAATGAGGGGCTTTCGGGTGTTGGGCTATTCCGGCGGCACTGGCGATCACTCGGAGAGGCTAGGGTAATGGAGTTTGTAAAAACACAAGACAACCCACCTTTCATCCCCCTCTCGCTTTCCCCTCTGCTCGCTTCAGGGTGCTCTCGATCAGAGTTGCTGTGGGACGTAAAAAAAGTGAGGTGAACATCTTCGCGGGTGACCTTTTCGGGTTTCCATTTGTCATAAAAAGCGTTGCCGGTACCGGCATTACCACAGGTTTTCTTGTTCTGGACCATACACCCTAGAGTCTCTCTCGAAAGTCAAAGTTGGGGCCGCTGAGAAGGGTTTCCGCGGAGAAGTTCTCCAGTCGCCCTTATTAGCTAAAACCGGCCACCCTGCCCCCCTATCGGACACCTAGGCCGCCCCTTTATCTACACCGATGAAAAATCCCCACAATATCAACGGTATCTCTCCCGCTAAAGTATCGAATTTCGATATCGACGCCTACATCAGCCCACTCATACCAAGCCCAAGGATCCTCCGGAGGCTCCCGACATGTATAAGTCGATTCCTGGGGCACAGAAATGGGGCTCGAGAGGGAGAGCTCCATATTGTTATTTGGGTCTGGACCTTTGTGGGAGCCTTTTCTGGGGTTGCGGTTGTCGAGACGGTTTTCATAAATTGGAGCTATTTCGTTAAGAAGGGGTGCCCCATGATCGTTGGAAGTTATGTATGTACGCCCGGCTTTACTACTGCCAAACTATTGCGAGCATGGGCTAATTTAAACTCGTGTAATAGGGCGCGGCGGCGGTGCTGCTGTACGGGGCGGTGGACAGTCCACTGGCTCAGCCGAGAAACGCATTCTTTGGACAACTTCTTTCAGCAGCAACCGCGGTGGCGATAACAAAATTGTTCCTGCTCAACAGCCGTTTCGATAGTCTCGTGTGGCTTGTCGGGGCTTTGAGTTGTGCTTCGGCAAGTTTGGTCATGACCATCACCAAAACCGTCCACCCACCGGCCGGTGCTACGGCGCTCCTCGCAGCTGTGGATCCCGGAGTTCGGAGAATCGGATGGGGTCTTATCCCTGTGGTTATGGTATCCTCTGCCCTCATGATATTAGTCGCCTGCATCGTGGACAACTTTCAGAGGTCGTATCCGCGCTACTGGTGGACTCCCGGACCCGTAGGAAAGGAAGCGCGGAGCAAGGATCGCAAGGATGACGGTATAGATGTAGAGAAGGGGAAGGCCGACACGAAGGAGGGTATGGAGGTGATTGTTGGAGCAGAGGGCATTGTTTTACCGGAGTTCTTGGTTCTCGGAGAGGTGGAGAGGGAGGTTCTCATGCAGATTAGATGTAGAATTGCGAACTTTAACGATGGGGAGGAGAGCGAGAGTAGCTCTCTGTGAGGTGGGGGGGACGTGCCCCCCTATGTTTTTCACGGCGTTCTTTGGGTTGCAATGGGCGATTTTCCCACCACCACCACCGTTTTGAGGGGAATTGGTCTATTTTCACGGGGGAGAGACGAGTGATATAGGTTGTATGTCATGCCTAATTACTCCGAATTAGTTGCGGGGGCTCAGGGCCATGGGATAGGAAAGTGCATACGCTGCTGAGATAGACTGTGCAATTGTATCGGGAAACAAGGCTGGCGGGGATGTCGGAGGGTTTCCAAAGGGGACTCCAGTAGATGCAAGGGGAGCGGGTGGTTTGCTCCCGGTGGGGAGGAAACACACGAGCCATAATATACACAGGGAAGGGAGCGCTGACTGACGACCCTCATCGTTACGCCCGGCGTTATAGTTGATCTTGTACCCGTAGTAGTATATTACCGGTATGACACTATGGTCACGTCTCCAACGTGCTGACAGTCGAATGAGAGGGAGCAAGCCAACGGCAGACGATAAGTAGGCACCTACGTAGTGTTTACCATCCTGCCATCCTGCCATCCCAACCCATACCTTACTGTGGGTGCGGCACATCGGAGCATCAAGCCCGATTCCCGCCCATTTCACCCATCGCGGCGAGATGGGATAGTCCACCGGTAGTATTTCCTAGACCTCCCCAACCCTAACCCATCCACCCTGTGGCGTAGTGTGATACTTGTCCAGACCTCACCCCTCACCACTCGTTCAAACGCGGAAGGAAAGAGAGCCTGCTAAACCGTCACGACCTGACACGATCTCAGTACCGGCACTGTAAAATGCCAGATTCGGCAGAGCACTGCGCATTCCGCTTGACCATTTGCTCGTGTGATTAATTATGTTGCCTGTTGCTTGGCGTAAGTTGGCCTGGGGCAGCGCCGACGGAGCTGGAAAAGCTCGGGAGAGCGTGTGGTGAAAGTGACGGTACCGGCACGCCACGCTCTCGTTTACCCGCTCGAACCATTCAAAGAGCATCCCGAGCGGCGTGCTTTAGAGACTTGTAGCGTGTGATTTGAGCTAAGTTTCTGGACACCTGGTTAACATACTTGTCTGCCCTTTCCGCCATTGAGCGGTTCGATGGAGAAAGAATACCACAAACTATGAGGTATTTCCTGACCGTCCGCTCAATCCCACTTCTCTACCCACCGTGCGTTATCCTCCCTCATGGCTGCAAGGACTGCAAATAATCCCCAACCCTAGCACCTCATCCGCCCGGTACACCCAACACCGTAAGAACTGGAATGATTGAGAATGCCGCGAGGACGTCCAGAATTTCCCCCTTTGGATTAATGGAAAATAGAGTGGAAGGACCTCCTTCAGCCCTCAGCCGAGACAATACTCGTAGACCATACTAGGGGAGGCAAGCCCGACCTCCGAGGTTCGTTCTACTCGTAGTCTCTCGTACGGTGCAACGGCGAGCCGCGCCTCAACCGTCACCGCAATCGCCACACCACCCCCAACCACCTTCCCGACTACAACAGCCACCGTCCACCCCGGTTTTATCGCATAGTTCTCAACCACGGCTCCAAGGCCCCATTTCCGGTCGCCTAATGCCTATTCCAACCGCCCACAACGGTAGCCAGTATCCTACCATGCAGTATCATACCTATCCAGCACTCATCGGGGCCGGGCCCTGCACCGTTCCACCGAGTTGCCTCATGGTCCCGCCGCCCCCTCCGGCGACGGTGACGGATGATAGTGCCTGTCCGGAATTGTGCCCGGCGAGTGCCCAATTTACCTTTCTGAGTGGGGGTGTCCGAGGACTGCTTGAGCGGATGGGGAGTTCTCCGTTGTCGTAGTCGGAACAGGGAGACGGGCAAAGTCGATATTTGGTGTATATTATACACAACCACTGTAATCTAACAGCCACATCCCTCGATCGATGGCTCTTCCCACACAAACCCTAAATTCAACAAACGAAGGGAATACCTCTGATTGAGTGCTTAATCCCCTGTGACACACACTTATATCGCACTTGACGAGTGATGCACGGCGGAAATTGGGATCACTAGGCCTCGTGCTGGTATCCGCCGGTGCGGGGATCGGAAGTATCATACTCGAGCACCGGTAGATTGAGTTTGGGTCATTGCAAGCTAGGTCGACTTGGCGGGCAGCTGCCTCGATAGCCTAATAGTGCCGGTATCCGAGTACGGTACCGTAGTTCTCTAACTCAGAGCTAAAAAAAAAAAGGAGCCAAGGGTGTGTGAGACGAGCCGTCTTCCCTACTCACACTCTGTTAGACTACCGGTATGTTATAATAAACTTCCGGAGAGAAAGATGGGTTGTATCGGAATTGCCTTTCATTGCTCGCAGTGGTGGTGGGAAGTGTTTCCACCCTTCTCACCCTTCTCACGTGTGCCGCGATAAGAGCTGTGGGGCCTCTTTGATTGTGGTGAGAAGCCGGAGCCAATGGATCACTTGCCTTTCGACCAGGACGTCGCCAAGAAGTGCTATCATAGTACAGTACAGTACTGTACTCGAGTACCTGTATTGGTATTATCCCTTGGATTGCTGGAACCTTGAAGTTTCTTGCTGCCTGTCGTCGTCTTTAGTAAGCAGGCTTGGAAATGTTACATAGCTGTTGGGCCGTGCGACCGTGTAGGCAGTGCCAGTGCGGCACTCGAGGACCTGCACTCCCGTAGTACTAGTACGGCACTTTAGGAAGCTTGTTATCACAATTACCCTACGCCCAGAAGATGTAGGAACTGTAGAAGTAAGCCAAAGCATCCGATGTCTCGGGTGATTACAGGGGTAAGTTACTCGAGCATGTACCGCAGCAGGAAGCCCCTTGAAGTTTTGGCAGTCCGGGAGATAGTGAGACGGCTTGCCGGTCTTTCATATACCGGTATATTTTTGTATACATATTTTCCTTACAATACTAACCTTCTCCTTTCCTCTATGCTCGCAATTCTGTAAAGCGGTGTATGTGGTGGTTAACCAATTACCGGTAACAGTTCTCCCACAAAAACAAACTTTATCCAACATCCATGTCACCGCCGCCACCAAAATACACAGACGTAGTCTGCATCGGCGCCGGTCTCTCGGGGATCGCGGTCGGCGCACGCCTAAAGACCCACTACCCCCACGCGAGCGCGCACTTTTACGACCGGAATACAGACCTGGGCGGGACCTGGCATGTGAATACGTACCCGGGCGCCGCCTGCGATGTCCCGAGCGCGCTGTACAGCTTTAGCTTCGCTATGAATGCTGCCTGGTCGTGCGTGACGCCGTCGCAGGTGGAGATCAAGGAGTATGTGCTGCGGGTGGCGAGGGAATATGGGATTCCCGAGAGGACGACGTTGGGGGCTGAGGTTTTGGGATGTGAATGGGTGGATGGGAGGGGCGTTTGGAAGGTTAGGGTAAGGAGGAAGGGGGAGGGGGAGGAGAAGGGCGAGTGGGAACATGAGTGCCGGGTGCTGTTTAGTGCTGTTGGGGGATTGGTACACCCGAACGTTCCGGAGGTGGACGGAATGGGAGAGTTCCGGGGGAGGGTTTGCCATTCGGCGGAGTGGGATCGGGGTATTGAGCTTAAAGGCAAGGACGTAGTTGTCGTTGGTAATGGCTGCAGGTCTCCCCCTCTCTATCTACTGAGCACTCCAACTGATCGGTTACCCCTAGGCTCCGCAGCACAAATCGTCCCGGCGGTTGCAGAAGTCGCTGCGTCTGTGACCCAGATCATCAGGAGCTCGCATTGGCTGGTTAAGGCTCCGAAAATAAACTACACCTCATGGATTCAATGGATATTCCGGAACATCCCGTTGGCAAACCGACTTCACAGGTTCCTGATATTCCTCTTGATCGAAGAGAGTTTCCGCCTCTTCGGTAGTAGCGAGAGCTCCAAAAGGTACCGGGCGAGGCGAAGGCCGGTATTGGAAAAATACATGCGGGAAGCATCGCCAGAGGAGTATCACGGCATATTAATCCCCGATTACGAAGTCGGGTGTAAAGTACCCCACCCCCGCTTCTCTATCACTCCATCCGATGCTAACAAGCGACCAGCGAAGAGTCCTCGATGACGGCTACCTAAAATCCCTCCACGACCCACACGTAGCCCTAGTCAAGTCCGCCATAACGCGAATAACCCCAACCGGCATCCAAACCTCCGCTGGCTCGCACCACAAAGCGCAAGTAATAATCTTCGCAACCGGCTTCAGAACGGGCTACTTCCCTCTGCCCATAATCGGCAAGCACGGCGTCAGTATAACCGATCACTTTGCGGAATTGGGCGGCCCAGGCGCGTACAAGACTACTGCTATTCACGGGTTTCCCAACTTCTTCATGCTGCTGGGGCCGAATGCCGCAACAGGACATACCTCCGCACTCATGGCAATCGAGAATACAGTCGAGTATGCGTTGAGGGTGCTGCGGCCGGTGTTGGGAAGGAGGGGGAGGACAGTGGCTGTGGAGGTCAGGCAGGAGAAGGAAAAGGAGTGGGTTTTGAACGCGCAGAGCGAGTTGGCGAGGATGGTATGGGGATCCGGGTGCAGGACTGTATGTTCCCTTTCACCCCGTTTTTCCGGCCAAATGTTGGGGAGCGGTGATTAATGAGAGTGAAGTGGTACAATACCGAATCCGGCTGGAACGCGATGACCTATCCATGGTCTCAGGCACATTTCTGGTGGCATTCGCTGTGGGTTAGTTGGGATGATTGGATCGTTGCTGTATGTCCCCTCCCCTTCCGCGTTTCCATTGATGGCAACTAATGATCAATAAGTATGACGAAAAACCAACCCTTCCATCCACAAAAAGCCTACTCATGTTAATCTCTTTCATCGTGGTGTGTGTGTGCGCACTCTTGTTTGGGAGCCCGGTAAGGTGTACAGTTGGATTGCAGAGGTGGCTTGTTGGTTGTCGGCAGGAGTGGGGAATATATATTTGAGCGCGATGAGCATTTTAGAGTCCTTTATCCCTTTGCTGCGAAATGTTTACAGCTCGGATGGGATGATGGGCTTGACTCCGTATATATCATATCAATGATACAAAATACATCTTTTTGCATGTTAGTTTTGGTGAGGGGGTATGGCACTCGCTGGGCACGTGCTGTGAGGTATGCTACTTGTATTATATCGTATCAAACCGAATTATCATAATATGATATCATGGCTGCGGTACCCACACCCTACCCTACCTTTACACATTTGCAGGAAACGGGTGAACAAAACGCCTTCACCGCCCAACAAAACCAGTCATCTCCGAAACAAACAAACTTAAAGTACCGTATCGTGTAGTGCAGGGAACGAAGCCAAGACGAAACCCCCCAAGAGCCCCGATACTACAGCAGCCCCCGGCGTCACCCGGCACGAGCTGGTACCATCCGGCCCCGGCAAGAGTGGTTTCAACGAAAAATGGGATGGGGCATCATATCATACTCGGATCATAGCTGACCACTTTCCCTGTTCTACCATACTACGATGCCGGAACCTTTAATCTTGATTTATTGAATATGTCTGGCTAGGACTTTAGAAACGGCTGTTGATATCGGTCGGTATCGTATCCCTGATATTGCCTCGACACCTGGGGCTGGGCACTCTTGAACGGGTCCGGGGGGGGGGGGGGCGGGGGGAAGCCAATTGAATTAATTGTTATTTTGAGGATATAATTTCTGAGCTTTTTATTATATTTTTTTCATTTGTGTGTATGATAAAAGCTACGAACAGTCCTGCAATTCATCCTATTATTGTTTTTGTTCTACTCGTACAATCACCTCTCGAAAGTATCGTCCCACTTTCTAAAACTCCACCAAAAAGTGTGTAAACACGGGTAATTAAC